TTGTTGCCTGTCCTCCTGCTCTGGAGCTCCTTCCAATGGCTCACAATCATCCATGGGAGCCTGAGCAGTGAACCGGCCATAAGTCACCACACTACCCTGATGCGCAAAGGGAAACACACACACGTGTTGAACTCCATTAAAGAGAGCTTCAGCAGCAAATCTACAATTGTCGCATTTTTATAGACTTGACCAGAAATTATCTGTCCATGATGTCTGTTTGCCAGCCACTTGAAGCAAAGAACAACAACTAAGGTTTGTCTTGGCCACATCTCTCTTTCAGGAGCCTTCCTTGCTTTATTCAGAGCCACATCCACTGACTACGGTGTCTTACATGAGGGGGGCCTGTGTCTCACTCCCAAACCAATTCTGATGCTGCACACAGAATACACTCCCCTTTCGCTTGACTGTAAATGAAGTAAATACATGCGGTGGCTCACGGAAACCTGTCAGTTTGGCTTCCAACCTTCTCCGGCTCCTCAGCTTCTTCAGGCTCTTCCTCCTCCTCGAAAGCTAAGAATAGTCTTTACTTGCAATCTATGCATTCTGCAAGTCTTCTGCTCAGATTGCTTGAATTTGGGTCCCTGTGTCTTTGTCACCCGACAACACAAACACGTACTATACCTTTACTTTACTGAAACAAAATCCTTCAGATTCAGGGGGTAGGTCAGCACAGACTCTTAGAAGCCTAAATCTGTGTACATAAGGTTAACTTTAAAAAGATCCTATAAAGGATCAAGAGCACCTAGAAAGTGCATGTAGTACAGAATGGAGCTCACAAGATCAAACAGACATGTCAGGCAGGCAAAACATTGCTTCTATAAAGACAAGATGTCTGAGGATGAAAGCCACAACAACAAAATATGTACAGCAATGGGACAAGAAGCCCGTGATTCTAGAGTAGCTACAATTGCATAAAACGTAGTCTGTTAAATTGGTCCTCTTCTGGGACTGGCATGGATTGCAAACCATCTGCAGAGCCAAGGACTGCAAGTGCACAACCTCTCAAGCCTAAAACCTCTATACAATCACAGGACCTCAGCTTTTAAAAAATTGAAATGATATGATGTGTCTCTGCAAAGAATCAGCTCCCCCAACCTTCTCTTGTGCCTACACACCCTCTTGCCTAGCCTAAAATGGTAAGGTTTTTGGAGCATATGATACCCTATCTTAGACAGTGTATGTGCAAAGGAATGAAACAAGAAATGCAGTAACCCTGCCACGCGCGGGAAGGAAACACAAACCTTTGTCTAGACTCTAGACTCTAGACTTTCATGCCGTTGCCAGTCCTGCTCTGGAGGTCCTTCCAGTTCACGATCATCCAAAGGTTCCGCCTGCACAAAGGCCGTCACTCTTCCTGCCTTGATCTGCCCGTTTGTCAATCTTCAGCCTTCTCCGGCTCCTCAGGTTCTTCAGGTTCTTCAGGCTCTTCGTCCTTGTCACGGGCTGTTTTGTATTCGAACACAAAACAAAGACGAAAGGGACAGACTCAGTTTTGCATTTTGACAGGGGCTCACAACATAGCACCAATCACCAAAGACTCCTTAGAATAGACATCATAATGTATGCAATACTATCATTGCCCCATTCAGGATCATTTGTACAACTGAGCAACCTTATTTGCACCACACCAAACCCTGTATCCTCTTCCTCCATAGGCCCGTTCAAGGGCTTTGTCAGGAGCTCACGATAATCCACGTAGTCTTCCTCCTGGGCGGTAATTAGTACAATCCTCCGCTGCAACCTTTGCACCTCTTGACATACGCATTTGTTCTTCCCCCTGTACAAGATTTCATTCTGACTGTTTAGGCAGGGACCAGCCGGAACCTTCCATACTTCATGTTCAACCCTTCATGGGTTCTATTTCCGATGCTGTTTTCAACTGCATCTATCAACAAGGGCCAAAGGCAAGACTTCATTTTGACCTGTTCATGGGTTCTATTTCCGCCGTGTTCTCAATTCCATTTATCAACCTTTATCGAAGGAGCCAAACAAGCGAAAGGGTGTGTGTGCGTAGTTGTCGCTGTGTCTGCCAGGCAAGAGGTGCCACAAAGAGCTTTGCCCAGAAAGGGGAAATTGTGAAGTCAACCCACAAACGTGCTTTTCGCAAGTCTGCAGGGGGCTGTTGTCACACCTACACTGGGCACGAACAAGCCGTCAAGCATGCCACATGGGCACAAAGAACACTGGCGAGGACAGCGTGAAAAAAGGCAAGGCTAAAGGTTGTCCAGGCCCGCGCACGGGACAAACAAAGAACCTGCACAGGGCGGGAAGAAAAATGCCCTTTGCAAATTCTTGCCCTGTCGCTCATAGACTCATAGAGGTCTCTTTGTGCCGCTGTGCACGCTGTCTAGGCACATTCCTTTTCCACCCTTCTACGGACGGACAACCCCTTTTCCTCTGAGAGACCCCTGACCTCTGACGCTGCTGCTTTCATGCATGTTGTGGGGCTGGACCCGGATTTGGGGAACCCGCGCCCTTTTTGGGGGTTCCTTGGCCGTTCCCCTTCACCGTGCCCGAAATGTTCTTCTTTCCATCCTGCGGTTCCGTTCTTTGCTGGGCGTTGGTTCTCTTCGCACCCTGTGCAGCGCAGTCAAAGCCAGAAGAAAAACCTCTGGCTGGGTCTGTCTTCCGCTTTCTTTCTGCCTTGCAGGGTTTTTCATCTGCCCTGTATTGCTGTGCTTCTGTTGCGTGGGGATGTTGGCTTGTGCCTTGTGTTTTGTAAGGCTGTCCAGGGTTACCAGGGTGCCGACACGCGGTGCCCAGAAAGACTCATGTTGCTGTTCCTTTTTCTCGCCCGGGTGTCCTGGACGTGAGCGCAAACTGATCAATTGTCTTGCATGTCTTGCCCCTCGTCGATTCGTGCTGAATGCCCTCCAACCTACGAGCGATGGCCTCGAACCTAATAGCAACCATTGAAAAACCTGAGTGAATCTACTGTTGCAACATGTTGCAACAAAACTGGAGCATTGCATATCAGACCTGCAGAAAACGTGGTGTCCTGGTCTTCTGCGGTCACAAGCTGCTCTGGAACCGGATCCACCTGGGGAGCCTGCGCTGAGCCGAAGAACGGAGACGTCGATCGATCATCGCAACAACAGAGACGTCGCCTCTTCCGGGCGAGCTCCCTTGATGGCCTCAAGGTGCTGTGAAACGAATTGACTGAGAACTTGTGTTCGCAGAAGAAGCACAGGCAAAAAAGGAAGTGAAATCGCAATGCGCGCTACTCGCCTCTTCATATTTTCTGCGGGAGTTGGCCAGGAAGGACAAAAACCCTGCCCACAACATCAAGCGGATCAGATCCTACAGTCCTACAAAACCAGCAAAGCCAAGCTTGTTAAAAGCACTGCCTCGCTGTTGCGTCATCCCTGACGCGGCCAAAGCGCTTCTAGGCAAGCTGAGCAAGTTTTAGGAAAAGAAGCCTTCCATGAGGCAATGGCATTGTTGCAAGAGATGTTGGGTCAAAGTTCCTGAAGGGCTAGAAGGTCTGAAAGCGTAGGCTTGCAGTCTAAGAGTCTTATGTGTTTCGAGACAGTTGTCCTACCTTGAACCGAAACAGCAGCTGAAAGCCATATTCTGACAAACAGTGTCCATGCCGTAGCACCGGATGTAGCACCGATGTGTCACAGCAAGGCCTGCCACAAGCAATTAGGCCTATACGCGCGTGCTTTGGCAATCCGGTAATAAAGGCTACAAAAAAGTCATAGTATGTCATAGTCATTGTGTTGCTATTGCCATGCCTCGATTGACTCTATTGCCTCTCCGTTGCCAGAGAATCATGCAGGAGGGTATATATAAGTGCGCCAAACCTTCATGATACTGTAGCTTGTGATTTACACAGCCAGCTAGTGATTAACACAGCCAGCTGGTTGACACTATCATCATAGTCTGTATTCTTGGCGGCTTCCATCTCAATCACAAGCAGCAGAATACACGTCAGGAACAGTGCTCCGCCGGTTTCTTCCATTCCTTCAGCGGCTGCCCAGGTCCTCATCCAGTGATGAAGGGCTGCAGAGGCAGGTGTCCTGCATCGTGGAAGAACAACAAACTGATATTCCTAACAGGAAGCCACCTGAGCTTGCTGCCCAGTGGCACCCGTGTCTTCATGTTCATGTCATTTTTGGTCCAACAAACTCCTGCACTTGGCAATTTCTTCCGGTGGCAACTCTCTGTGGGTATTGGGCAAAGGATAGAAGACCTCCAGCGCTGAGCGAGATAGAGGCTGAGTGGCTTGGAAGGCAAAGCTGCATTCATTTTGGCTTGAGAAAATCTGGGAATCTTAGCCATCCACCTCGGGCGGGCAGACCAAGATCTGATCGCCACAATCTGTGCAAATGCTGTGGGTGAGAGTTGGTAGCCCAACGCTGTGGAGGTCCAGTTGGTCTTGAGATGCTTATTGTTGATCTAGAATCGTCAAACCATGTCAGACCTATCAACCTGGATCTCCCCATGCACTTCGAATCTACAGCAACTACCCCGACCTGTGGCAAGTGGCAAGGCCCGCATGATGGCCCGGGTAAAGAAGCCAGGTCCAGTGCTCGCCAAGAACGAGGCCTCCGTTCTGTGTTCACCGCATGATGACAAAGGGTCCTTCCTAAATGATGTGTCTTTCTGTTCAAGGGTCTAAAAGGTACTAAAAGAATCTGAGTTTATGGAAGGCTTCAGCGGCTTCGGGGGCCTTTACCTTTACCTTCTGTTTCCTGTTACCTTCTGCCTTTTCCTCCAACCCTTGTGCACGCCTTGCCCTTGGAGGCCAGCTCGCTGCCCAACATTCCGGACCTCCATTCAGTGTCACTTGACTGATTTGTCTCCAAACGTCTGGACGTGGCCTCTGAAGCTGGTAGGCAACTGCTTCAGCGGGATCCACCTCATCCTCAAAGCTGCTCGATTCGGAGGTCTTTGAAGACTCAGTATCAAGTCTGGGGGTGCAATATGTCGCATTTAAAAGGATAAATCATTTGTAGGTGGGTTTGTCAATGTTCAATGAGACCATATGAGACCACACCACACTTCTGCCCTGATGAGGCACCGCTGCCTGCCCCCATTCTGGCCAGGGCTTGCCCACATGCTCACAGAAGAAAGCCACCAGGGGATGCCTCACAAATCCATCGCAAGTTCTCACATATCCATCTCGTTTTCGCCTCGATTTTCGACGTTGATTTCGTTTGAAAGACATCGAACCAAAACCCCCCCGGTCCCGTGCGCACCCGGGAGCCGCTGCGAAGAGGCCGTTGTTCAACTCGAAGGCTCCGACCTCGGTGATCGGGCTCCACCGGGCGTCTTCGTTCGTTTGTTTCAAAAGCCTTTTCAAAAGAACTTTTTGGGCCAACCTCCCCCACCTCCCTGCTTGATTAAGTAGGTTAAGTAGATGCCTACTTAATTGAGTAAGGGAGAAGTAAGCTACTAGGCTAAGTTAGATTCTAGACATGGACGCGGGATAGCTCATGCTTCTTCAAGGAAGCTCTCCCCGCCTGACGGCGGCGGGGAGCTTCCCTGAAGAAGCGCTCGCACTGATCATTTGGTTCCTACATGTTCAGGGAAACTCACTGCCGATAACTCAATAATACCTTGCTAGGAACCCGGGCATTTGACATGCCACTGTAGAAGGATGTGGCACGATGCAACTCGTCCAGGGGGCGCAAGCATTCAAAGTCCTTCCAAAGTGGAGAAGCTTGTATGGAGTCATTTAAATTGAATATTTCATCATCTTCCATCAAGAAGACTTCACAATGCATTCACAGCAGTTCAGTCCACATCCACGTACAAGCCTCCTTTCTCCAAGACAATCACAAGGCCTTGAGCCAGGTGGAAACTCTGCGGGGTGTCAGTGCAGTTTGCCGAATCCGAGGAGCTAGCGAAGAATGTCGCTTTTCTCCGCAGGGTTCCTTGCAGCTTCAAAGGCCTGCATGCTGTTGTGTGATGTTGGAGCATGATAGGTAACTGATGACATATGCAGCATGCACGTGGTGATCAACTATATCAACATATACAAATCTTTTCGATACCTTTCATGCTGCCTTCTGCAAACGCTCATGGTGCTGCAGTAGGCCAGGAACATCTGAATCTGTCCACAGGCGATATTCCCAGGCAGGGTGGCCTCAGCAGCTGTACAGGCAAAGAAAAGGACCTCGCTTCAAGGATCTGGACCGAGGACTACAAAGTCTTTCTTTGCAGATGATCTCTATATATAAATGTCTATTGCATGAAACCGGAAAGAGGGTCTACCTGCAAATCTGCCTTCAATATGCCAATATACAGTAATTGAAATATTATTGAATCGCTTGAAATTTGACTCCCCAGCTCTCCAGCCAGGTCGCAGGCACTTGCGCCATGTGTCCGCAAGCTGCTTGCACAGCTCTGGGCGCGGGGACTCCCCGAGCCAGATCCTCAGAGATTGACCAACGAACCTTCCCATGCTGATGTGGCAAAATTGTTTGGCAAACTGAGTTCATCATCTTGATTCAGACTTTACCAAGAAAGGCAATAGCAATATCCAGATATGTCTACCGTTCTTGGCTCCAAAGGAGGTGGCACTATGATTTGAAGATTACGAATGTTATTCTGCCTACGGTTTTTTGGCCAAGCTGTACTTGGGTTCCGAGCTGGTGAATCACGAGCGGAATGATTGGGTCTGCACCGTCCACAATCGATTGTTCCAGCTTCTGGGATTGCTCCTGTTCATGTCTTGCCGAACAAACTTTGCATGTGATGCTCTGTGTCTGGCCTCCCACTAACCACACAAAGCACTGCAACCTTCAGCCTCTGAGATCTAAAAAAGGGAACGTCCTCCCAAAGGCTTTGAATCCGTTCGCACCAGGCGCGATCGTACGGACTCCAAAGTTTCCACCTCGTCAGTTTCACCACACACCGTCTCATGGAGGCCATCGCGATTAGGTTGGAGGCCATTGCTAGTAGGAGCAAAGACGCTACTAGTAGCTCCTGGCCATACTACTAAAGGAACAAGAAGCTACTAGTAACAAAGGGCATTGCTACTAGGAGCAAGGACGCTTACTAGAAGCTACTAGGATGGAGGTGATCGCTATTGGGTTATGAAGTTATGACCACCACACGTTCAGCACCGTTGAGACACGTCGTTCAGCGCCTCCATGCCTCGATGGTGGGGAACTTCGCGCGGGCCATGGCCCGAAGGCATCCATCGGCGCCATCCATCGGAAGTTCACCACTGGTGTCTTCCATGGTGGCTTCAATGCCGATACAACGATAGAACGAAGCCGTTCACCATGGTTTTACATGTTACATGTCTTTTGTGTGCTTTGTGACTTTGTGTGTGTGTGTGTGAAATGAAGAAGAAAGGATCTGCTTTCAGAGTGCATGACTAAGGCAACAAATTCACTTGTCAGCTCTAGAATGCCGATCGCATCAGTATACATTGCTATGAATCTTTGTACAACAGGTACCCAAGTGCAAGCATCTTCAGCTGACCGACCAGTGCACAATTGCACAGGATCAGAAAATCTCACAGAACATTCAATTGGAGCATGTGCCAGACGCAAGCAACGCCCTGGGGCAACTCCAACCTCTCTTTCTCAGATTTTTCCAAACGATCCAGCATCCACACCCTTGTCCAAGTCTGCACTCTGGCACTCCGCCTGACACAACGGCTCGGTCCTTGACAAAGCTCGGCAAACCAGCCGTGGCTTGGCTCCTTGATCTGGTTGGTAGTGCATTCTATTCTTTCTAAACGTGAGGATCGGTATCAAAAGGCACTGCTTTAAAAGCATCTCCCTCCTGCCTCACAGCGAGGCACTGGGCTTCCCCTGGCACTGTCCAAACCACCAAATCCCTCCGACCGCCGCGCGGCGCCTGGCAGACGGATGAGGCGTCAGCGCCGAAAGCACATCCCACCGCTCTCGGACCTCAGAGTTGGGCGATCGGCACTGCGGTCGGCCCCAAAAGCTACTAGGGGCTCCTGGCATCGCTAACGTGCAAAGACGCTACTAGGGGCTCCTGGCCTTACTACTAGGAACAAGAAGCTACTAGGGGCTCCTGAAAAGGAATCGAAACTCGCTCCTTTGGGCAGCCTCGGCGGCTTCGGCATTGCGGCCTCCCTTCTTGTAGTGCTGCTCACCCGGCGCAGATTGCTGACGCAATAAGCCCGACATGGGGAAAGCTGTGAGACAGCAAACCCCCGGAGGAGCCCAATGAGCATGTTAGCGCATCATCTCATTGTCATCCACCGGGCACAACGGTGGGTTGGCCTCAAGCTGCCTCCGCTCCACAGCATCACGCCCCACACCAGGCCAGCGGTGTGCAGACTGCCCCCTTCGGTGGGCAGAGCCACAAAAAGGTCCGCCATTCTCAGTCCGGGACATGTAAGCTGAAGACCGACTTGTGCCGGGCAGTCTGTAGGTAGGGCTGGGATCCGGAAAAACGCAGCCCACGAAGTTGTTTTCTTTTACATACTGACAAAACTAAACTGATAAACCAACCCCCTTTTCCCGCAGGAGGCCAGGTGCACAACATGACCTGACCAACAAGTCCTGAGCGGAAAAAGCTCTCTCGCCTGCCCCTGTCCCGCATTCGCCAGGACCCTTCGCAAAAACGGAAGCCATTCGGAACTAAGGTCTCAACAGTTTCTGTCCTCACAGCCACCAGCTCGTCCTGGCATTAATTGCACGGACACAAACGGAATCAATCCATATCTATCCCGTCCTTCTGTCTCAACCTGTCCTCAGTGCGACTTCGAATCATTTTCTGCTTTGGTCAAAGGCCAATTCTGGGAAGAGTCCCCAACAAGTAGATCACACAGTGTTGATTGTAAAGCCAAAGGCTCCGCAAGGCCTCTTGGTATTGCTGGAAGACCGAACTCCTGGCAAAGGCAGATAGAAGCACCAAGCCCGATCGCTTTAGGTTTTGCTTCATTTTATGTAAAAAATCCAAGCATCCATTGTATCCATGCGATTTCCACAAATTCACGACTGTGAGAACCCCAACCTCTACACTGGTGGTGTTCGTTCGTTCTATAAAGGTCCTGCCTTTGGCAAGCCAGTGGATTGAAGTAATCCAGAAACGGTCTGCACCACTTCTCCAGCTTTGACCTAAGCTAGCTCGCGAGCGGTCTCTGTCGATCTGAGGAAAGTCGGTCGATCAAAACACAAGGAAAATTGGCATATATAACATGATGCAACAGTAGGGTTCAACAGTACATATGGGGCTCAAACGAAAAGAGATTCCGAAGTCACAAAAGGCTTCGTCACTGTTGGATCTTAAAATTCGCAAAGGCTATCAAATGCTCATCCAATCTAACACCCTTGCAGTAAGTTGGGTGTGCTTGCCTCGTGGGGTGCAATCATGTGCTGTGTTGTGACACTGTGAGACTTTCGTTCTCATCCTCCTGAGAGGCCAAACTCGCAGTCGGCCCAGTTCATTCAAGTAGTAGGCAATTGCACTGGCAAAGAATAGGTGCCCTGATGCTGACAAACCCGCGTCCTGTCCAACAAACCCGCTCAGGAAGAGCTGCTTAGACATGCAAGCAGGTGCAAGGCCAGCAGGACCCTGGGCATCACCAGTCCTCCCACCATCCATGGATATTGTTCTCTACGGAGCTGAAGCTCTCATCCTCCTCACACACCCAAGGTTGTACTCGTGTGCGTTACAAGTGTCAAGTGCTAAATGAGCCAAGCAGTCCTCAACGGCTTCTTCACGATGAAGTTGAAGACCGTTCAGCTCCTGCTTTTCATCAACCAAATGAGTTCTTCCACATCCCATTGCGTTAGTCTCTCAGTCGAAGAATGCATCAAGAACGGGCAGCGGGGTGAGTTCAAAGGTCAACCTTCAAGAGTTTGGAGGTCTTTCCTGCAGTATTCTCTCTTCCAGCGGGTTGAGCAACAGGATGGAGCGACCACTTGATTCCAGCCGTCCTGAAGCCACAAAACACTAACACGTAAAGTGCGACTTGAAGCACTGAACTTGGAAGTTGCAAGTGAATCCTTTCTGCTGAGGTACAACAGTTGTATTCAGGGTCAAGTGGCAGCATGACTGGATGGTCAGCCAGCTGCACTGTCTCGTGCGACTCAATCACGAACGCGTTCAGGGCGTCCTGTTCGGCCTGCTCGGTGGACGTATTGCTCTCGGTCTTCGGGGGGTCCCACTTGGATGACAGTGTGGACATCCTTATCGGCATCTTTCAAGTTGGCAGGCCAAGCCAGGAATGTGAGACTACTGACAAGAGCATTCCAGAGTGTGAGGAAGCACAGGTTGCAGTCTTGACTTCGCACCGAAGTTGAGCCTTGGCTCCCGACAAAATCCATGCCCCGTGCAGCCACATCAGTGGCAAAGAGAGCGCCCATGGTCGCAGGGGCCTTGGCAAACGAGCATAATCAGACAAGGATCTCTCGCTCCCAATCTGAGCTGCCAAAAAGGCCAAAAAGATCCGCCGTGGTTAGGTGTCATCTTCTGATTCCGTCCAAACAACCGGAACCGCCTCTCACCGCGTCTCTGGGTCATTCTGGGTCACCCGGCGCCCCTCGAGAAGCGGAAGGCCCGGCTACGGCGGCGGTCGTCCGCCAAGCTCCGGTGCAGCGCCAAGAGCCCGGGCCTCGCCCGGAGTGGAACGGAGTCGTTAAGTGGCTTCACTGTGCTTCACTTGGCCATTTGTGTGTGTGTTCCTTTCACGAAAGAATGGATAGACTTTGCTTGCACAGCCGCTGCTATACAAGAAAGTTCCGTGAACATGTTCAACAGTTCCAACAAAAGACATCTCCCAGCGCTCAACCACCAAATGTGACTGTCGGACCCACGTGGAAGAAATTACCGTCGTGAATTTGCGACACAACGCACCAGCCAAGCTTCCCACATATTGGCACGGTGTTTCAACAACACGTAAAAGAACCTTGGAGCAAGGATGCAAACCTTCCCTGTGTCACTCAAGTCAAACTCTTCTCGTGCTAGCCCCCTACACTCCGGAGTTACAGCTGGGATGCTAGCTGCAACCACCGGACAGTTGGAAAAATGACCAGCACGCGCTTGGGCTCACCTGCTGGGTTTGGATAGAAGCGCACGGGCGTCACAAGGTGCTTCGAGAAAACAGCCTTTGTTGACAAGCATCTCCTTCACCAAGAGGGCGTGCAAAACCGGCAAAAACTTCTGGGGCTCGTAGCGCACAAGCACCTAACTTTCCGTCCCATGTGCTGACATGGCACACAGGCAGGACATGACATGCCCCCGCCTGATCCACTGGTTGCGCAACCTCCAAATGAGCTTTGGCTGCATCCGCCTCCACAGTGCTGATCCTGGGAGGGAGTGGTTTGTATGTCTGCCTATGGGAAGTCCTAGCGCAGAGAAATATGAGATGCTTGTACATTCAAATGCCCCTTTAAATGGGCATGGATTTGGATGGTTGACTCGGGGAGAGCAGCAATGATGAAATTTGAGCCCCCAACACCTCCAGGTTTGCTCGCAGGGATCGCATGGCAAACTTGCGGATGTGCTCGCTGAACCTCAACTGCAAATGTCTCTTGAACCCCTGTTTGTTTCTGCTTGCTTCTTGCATGCGAAACAAGCTATTGATTCCTTCATCCGCTTCATACGCATGCTGGTGCTAACAGCTTGACAGCTCCAAACGAAATCTGTAATTGCCGGGAACCCCACGTAGCAGAACAAAGAACCATCTGCGGCCTCAAGACTATATAGCATAGCCCTCACACAAAGTCACGAAATGATGTAATCTGATAAACCGTGTAAAAAGGAATTGGTATTCGCATTCTATCGCATCGTCAGCCTGGAAGATAAGCACCGAAAGATGTAGTCCACCTTCTCCAGCCCGATTTGCGTTGCCACATGCAGAGATCAATTAGAAACATAAGTGTTACCACACTTGTCACTGTTTGTCAAGTTGATACTGTGCCGACGTATGTTTGCCATGTGTCACTGCAACCGTGCCTTGTGTATGAAGACAGGATCCAGCAATCGGTCTGCTTCATCCAGAAGAAATACTTCGATTGACCCAAGTGCACGAACCTTGCAGCCACATGGTCTGCACAGGTTGCTGTGGGAAACCCATCTGGGTTTCTTGCAAAATGTGGTGTGGATTGCAGGTGGTGAACCTAAAACAGTGCCAAATGGCATCAACAGTTCCGGGAATAACTGGAGGGTGACCTCTGCACATTGTGACTGAATCACTGAGCAATCTTTTGGGATCTGACTAAACGCCAAGGTGTTGCAAAAAGGATGTGTGGCGCATCTGCTTTGAGACGCTCGATATCCTCCTTCAAGTCAAGCGCAATTGTCCGATACTTCCCCAAAACTAGCAGTTCTTTTACACTTCTTGTAGCATCGTGTATTCTCTTGATTCTTGAATCTCGTGTTTCCTGTTGTGAAACCTGCTTCGCCATGGCCGCTTCAGTCTTCGCGTGTCCCATGCGACGTTCCGATTCGCCTGGTCTTAGACTTCACTAGAGCAACATAAACTCCAAAAGCAAGGTCAATGGAGAGAAAGGGTTTAGGTGGCTCAGCCGGCTTAGGTCGCTTAGGGTTGGCGCTCCCCCTTCAAAGAAGCCTTGCCTTTCTGTTTTTGTTGTTCTTCTTGTTCCCCAGATAGCTAGAGCTATTGGGCGTCTTACTTCATGTATAGGAAGAGGTGCCTGCGCGCACGTTTGGAGCCTGGGTGCTGTTGCCGCTGCAGGGTGCCGGAGAGTGCCGCTGCAAAGTGCCCTGTGTGCCAAGTGGCCGTGCGCGCTTTGAAGCTTGCGTGCTGGAGCTGCTGGAGGTTGTACTTCTAGGGTGCTGCTGCCAGATGTTGATGGCAGTGTACGCTTTTGGAGACTCTGCCCACAAGTATCTGTTGCTTTCTGGGTTCCTTTTCTTTCATCGCACGTCTTTTTGTGGGGTTCTGTATTCTGTGTCTTCGGCTGAGTAGCGAAAGTAGCTACAGTAGTAGCTGGCAAGAAAGCTCCCAAGTAGCTCCAAGGCGACGTTCGGGCGCAGGCGACGTTTATCTCGAAGGGTCCTTCAAGGAAGCTCCTATTGCCCGGAGAGCGGAGGGGGGAGAGCTACCTTGATTTGGTTCAGAAGACCTGTTGCCAAGTGATATAGGTTTTATATATGCTATGTGGTACACCTTCTGTGGTTCATAGGCTTTAGATGTCTGTCCTTCTATTGCAGTGATGATGTAGAGGGTGAGTTCAGGTCTCCTGCATCGAGAAGCCACCCGCGACGAAGGAGCTCCGCACTTGCCCTCCGCTGTAAAGCAGCAGTCCGCTGGCAACTTTGGCCTTAGCACTTCGAACTTGGGGAATGAGGGATTCCGGTGCAATTCTTGCAGGTCCTTTTGCGGATCAACCTCAAACTCATGAACTTGACAAACCTAGATTCAATCATTCAAAAACTCAAGCCTCCTTCTTCCCATGGCCAGTTTCAATGTCACTGAGGTCAGTACCAGTTGCAAGACTAGCTCCCGAGTCGGTGCCAAAACCAATGCAAATACACCCTGAGCGGCTTTGGCCCAGCTGGGTCAAATGTCATGATTCCCAACTCTTGGTGGCAGCAAAGCAGCAGCTATGGCCATGGCCTTAGCAGCTTGAACTTGTCCATCAGCCTCCAAGCAAAATCGTAACCACACCGTCCACACCTATCGAGTCATCAAGTCAGTACCCTCAAACATCCTCACGCAACCAGCCTCTAGAGCCAAAAGCCTCTGCAAAACAGGCAACAGGAATGCGATGGTCTTCCCAGTCCCAGTGTGAGCCTCTCAGGCAAACTCAGCTCATACGGTCGCAGTCAAGAATTAAGTTGACTGAGGGGCCTGCAAGAGCAAGTCTGGTCTCTTCTGACAAGGATCCTGTAGGCAATGTAGGCAATGCACAATGACACTCAGCCGTTCGAAGGCGACGCAATGCTGCGCATACCGAGTGAATATCTGCAAAAAAAGTAGTAAACAACAATGAACAAGTTATTCTGACTGTTTGAACCAGTCCAAAATGGCCAAGGATGCCTCAAGCTGCCGCAAAATGGCTTGCTGCTGCACCGAAGTGAGGCGAGCACCTGGGCCTAGGGCCACCTGAAGCCATCAAGCCAACCAGGACTGAAAGGGATGGATTGCAACCTTGGCGTGCCTCCAATCCTCTCAATAATCTCGGATCAATGGCCAAGTCTTGAAAACGTACATCGGTAAAAATGCTGAGTCTCCGAAGGCCTGGCATCCCCGAGTACGCACGGACCCCACCCACAGCAAGGCTTTGCAAGTTCGACCCCCCGTGTCCACCTCTCGTTCGGCCAAACCACCCTGAGAGTGAGCGCAACCTGTCAAGCTTCGATGTAGCCAGAGCCAAATCAGCGGTGGTTTCGCAGCGCTGCTGATGATTTCAGCAATGCTAGCGGTGATGTCCGACACATGATGACAAACCTTCGCCTCAGCATCTCCCATGGCAGGCCTTGATGATGGCTCTTTGCAAGTCTTAACTTCAAAAGGCAGCGTAGACAGGTATCATGCAACGAGTAGCAGTGAAATCCAAAAACCTACCAACGGGCCCAAGGGGGAGGCAATCGAATTGTGCTGCGAGCTCTTTAGCACTACAAGGCTCCACATCAAGTGACATTGTCCAAACAACCAAATCCTTCCAGGTAATGATTATGTCACTCTAATCTGCTTAAAGCCAATAGCTGGCACATAAAGGCTCATCTGACAGCAACTGAAATGGCCCTTGGATTGTGAGCCGATGAGGTTTGCAGGAGCTCCTCAATCAGCCCTTTTCATTGGAGTCCAGCAGAGCTGAACAGGCTTGAACAGCTGAAGAGTCCAAATGGCACAACAGCCAGGGCACTCTGAGCTGCACAGGCTGTGCAGGCTGCGAGCCTGAGGAGTCAAAATCTGGAGAGTCTAGACACCAGCTGCCCAAACAGCTGTTCAAAGAGTTGGTGATTCCCACAGCAGGGGCTGCACCAAAGGCAACTCTGCCTCCTAGGAGATCTTGCAGGAGGCAAAGACCCAGAGCCCATTGGAAGGATTTCGCACAGGAGGCGACAGAAGCACTTTGTGCTTCCATGTCAGGTACCTCATGATGTTGAGATCTGTCCAGAAGACCAAGGGCAATCTGCCAAAGGTGGATACCTCCACATGAGGTCAAAACTGCATTGCGGGTGATGAAATCCGTCACAACACTGCGGGATCGGATTTCACGCAAAATTGATGTTGCCAATGTCCAGCAAGCCCCTTGGGCAAAGGCACTGGTCAAAGCGTTAAAACAAATAAGATCCGGCTCTAAGCCCACATTCAACGTTTGAACACACACCTGCAATGCATCTTCCCAAAGGATGCTCTTTTCATACATGGTGATCGCGGCGCTAAAAGTATCCACGCTGCCTCTGATGGCAGTCGTTTGCAAGGTCCGAATCATTTGCAGGCTCACTGGCCAGCAACCAGCCTCCCCAGTCAGACAAGAATTTACTCCTACTAGATTCATCCGGACTCCAGTGCACATAGTTGCTGCTAGCAAAGAAGCAGCACGGAACCATCTCCGGCGTTCTACACCAAGCATCGCATTGCCACTCACTTCATTCGGATGCAGATCGTGACGTGTCATGTCACACCAAAGCTCCGCGGCACAACGCCACGTCCCTTCATGATGTAAAGCAGCAATGGCTGCGCTGTAGCTCCTGACATTCGGAGTCACTCGATTCCATCTCATTAAATCCAAAATGCAAAAAGCTTCTTTCCAATGTCCACTCTGCTCTGGACAGGCACTGATCAAGGAAGTCAATGTCACTTCATCCGGACGTTTCTTGAAAGATACCATTCCGTCCAGCAAAATTAAGGCGAACTGCCATTGTCCACCCTTCTCACACGCATCTATACATGCGTTGTAGCATATCAGTGTGGGCATCGTCACCGTGAACATCTGTGTTAACCAATCCAACGACCTTCTCCAAGGTTCTCCCCTTGAGCTTGAAATCAGAGCCCCAAACGCTATTGAATCGAGCAAAGGATGCAAAAATGTTGTCTCAGTGCCAAGAATGGTAGCCTGCTGCCACCTGCACCCCTTCTCGCAGGCAGCAATTAATGAATTCATGCAAACTCCGTCTGGTTGAATTCCACGCAAACTCAAAAGCGTCAAAAAGCGAAGTGCCTTTGGCCAGTGCACCCCGTCTTGTGACCCACGAACCTCAAAAGGCAGCTGCAACAAAGGGACAAGGATACTTAAATCCAAAAGAGTAAAAACTCTAGAGAAAACAAAAAACACACACAAAAACGAAAATGGTTTTCGAGTCGTGCCGAGTTGCTGCCATCATCCCGGAGCTGTGGCTCACAACATCTGCTATGGAGCGTCGGTCCATGCAACCCAGGAGTTCATAGGCACTCTGCCAAATGACCGGACCCGAACGACCCAGAGAAGCTAAGGCAGCATTGTGATGACGAAGGTTCACCTAAAGCGATTCCAAAGAAAGACTTTTGGTCACCCCCCAAAAAGAGAAATGTGTATTGGTGATTTTCTGGTTTGGGTGTCTGAAAAGAATCACTCCCCTGCCTCCAAAGACTGCCATCGCAAGGCTTCCAGAAAGAGTAAAGGCCATACAGAACGCCGTAGCTGCTGGGTTACCAAGCTTGGTTTGCCATGCCACCTGGGCAGCAACAGGCAGCAGTTCAGCAACTCGGAAACTCGGTTTCAAGAGTCCTTGCAAAAATTGGTTTTAGATCCGAATCAAAGACTAGCTAGCTGTAGCTCTGCAGCACCAGCTACAACCCAGCAGGAAAAACCTTTGACTTGAGCAACATGAGGTTCAACTCACATGCACACACACAAACATTAGCGAGATTAAAGTAGAAACTGAATGCACCACCTTGCCTGAAGGCCTGAGTGAAAAACAGTGAAAGAGATTGCCAGACCAAAACAACCACGTGCATTGGGGCTCCAAAATCCAAATGTGCCTTTTTAGTGCCAACGCGTGACTGCCGAATGCACTAGCCCTTTCTTGCAGCACATCATCACACCTGGAAACGGCCTCCAAGACTGTGTGGACCGTAGAACAAACGCCACAAACTTCGTGAAAAACACGGGTGCGCCGGAGTGATCAAGTCCGGCATCCACCATGCCTAGCTTCGTTGGCATACGGTTGCGTAAGTAGTGGCTGCACACCCCACTCGATATCATATGATATAATAGACCCATGAGCAACAAATCTCCACAAAAAATACATCACTGTAGGGTGGGGCACTCCCCACACCCAGCCTGTTTTGCATGGTTCTGGAGGATCCACAATTGGAGCATCCAGGCCGAGGTTGCAATGATTAGCTGCAAAAGTACTTGAATGGTCGTGCGTTAGCCCCATTCAGCATTGGCTCGAAGGACTCGAAGTCGAAGGACCCCAGAAGTGTCTCAACATTGATGTGAGTTTCACATGGCTGCTTTTGGGCCGCTAGAACAGGAAGCCAGGAGCGAATAGCAAAGACCACTCAAGGTTTGCATGGTTGATCTAGTTTGCAACAAATGAGAGGAGGCTCAGGCGCAGGTTCACAAAGACAGCTGAAGCCTTTTAATCAAGCGTTCATTGGTGCTGAGGCGACTTCCACATTGGGAGAATGCCAGGTCCGAGGAGATGTGATCAAAAGGCATAAACCATAGCATGCCAAACGAGCTCAGCAGGCACATCTGCTCAGACCCCAATAACTATAGTTAATTTTGGGCAGCTGCAAACCAATTGAACCGATTGTTCTTCTGAGTAATCATTATATAAGTCTTTCATCTAGAGCATGGGCAGCTCCCCACGAGCAGCACGGCTTTTAAACAGCCCGGCACCTTCCGCTCCTTCTGTGTCTTCTAGTTTCTCGCATATTGGATAGATATGTATATATCTAGAAAACCTATGAAAACCTATACAAATCTCTTGGCCCGGGAAGTCTACAAGAGTGCCAGAGGCCCTACCCTACTGCAAAAAGTCAGATCACCTGTCAGCAAAGCACCACCAAAACACAGAGGATGAAATGGGATATGTTAGCCTGTTAGCAGTCAGTCAGGCCTGCAAAAAAGGGGCAGTTCAAAAGCTGTCCTCGGCACAAGTTTTAAACATCCAATGCACAACATAGTCATTTGACTCAGACCTTCTTGCGTTCACATCACCAAGCTCCCCGCTGAGGCAAAAATCCATGACCCTACTACCTCAAAATACATGACACAGACCTAAGGCATTTCACTGCTGAAACGTCAAAAAACTTGCCGGCCTTCGAGCAGAAGTACATGGCATCTCAGAATTTCTTTGTTGTGCGTACATTTCTTGGAATCGATTCCTCAGGAAAGAGCTCAGAATGTCCAGCTAAAGCACACTATGCAAGCAACGCAGGTGAGAATTCCCACTTGAGTGGTTTCTCTGAGGATGTCACACTTCAGCGGCGAGGTGCACCCTTCAGAGTTCAAAGCTTAACGATAACGTCTCAAAAGCAAGTTTCGGCGAAGCTTCAGCCGGGTGTTCATATGTTTTCATCTCGGGCCTGCATTCCCCGATCCCACTCTGACCGTTGCAGTACTCCGTCATGGTTCAGGTCCATGCGGTCGAACTGGTCCTTCGAAGGAAGGAGCACGTGTACAAATTTATATACACGTTGCACGTTGAAGTCTCAAGATAAGGGTCTGGCCATGAAACCTCCATACACAGTGCCGGCAGCCTTTGAAAATTGCAGAAATGTATTGTCAAAGTTGTGGCACAGCCTGCGCCGCCACTAAGATTCGTACGGGCACGGCAACTCCAGTCGAGACATTCGCCGCTGGCATGTAAGCCTTGCTTGCAAAACAAACAGTGCGTGGCTGGGAAGGTCTTGCTTGGAACAGGGTTGGCATCGTCCAACGATGGCAACAGAAAACAACAGGCAAATAAAGACTCTAAACGGTGTTACAGCCAAACTGCTCACCCTGCGCTCTTCACACCCCGCCCCTGAGCTCCAGACCATTGGAGCTGCTGTCACGGTGATGGGAGCTGCTGTCACGGTGACAGGAGCTGCTGTCATCATTGGGGCCGCAACCTCCATTGGTTCAACTGGCACCTAGTGCAGCGTGTAGAAGACCGGAACAAGTCGGGTGTTCCACGCAATCTCCTTCTTGTTACTAGTAGTAAGGCACCTGTTACTACTAGTAAGGCACTTGTTCCTAGTAGCGTGGCACTTGTTACTTACTAGCTTGCTCTTGCGGTTTTAATCTGTTATTTTAATGCTTTGGGACTTTTTCGAGCTCCCTCTTCCACAAGCAAGAACTTGCTTGTCGTCTCTCTATGTTTCAGGAATTTTCCTAAAGGCATCTCTGATGCTTGGGTTCTCATTTGGTCTGCTAACCTGTGTAGGAGGCCCTCGGGGCGGGGGTCGTTGGCCGTTCCTTTGCAGATCCTGCGCTCGGGTGCGGACCGTGGCGCTGGAGGTGCACTGGGAGGAGGCGAAGCTGCCGGCCGTGGAGCAGGGGAGAGGGAAGACCAAGGGGGTCAGACGGGGCAGATCGTGGGAGGAGGCGCTGGCCCAGCAGGGGATAGCAAGTGTGGGAAAACCACGGACAAATGTGTGTGCGCGCGTGTGCGCGTGATATGCTAGGTGTCCCTGCGCTGTTCACGCGATGTGCAAAGACTATATAGACTATATGACTCAGGACTTCTCAGGGGATGTATGTCTTGCCTTTGGATTCTCATCTCGGGCTCACCATTTGGGCCTGTAGGCCATTCTTCTTTCCTTCTTTGAGTCCTGTATTTCCTCGTTATGTTTGTCCAAACCTTTCCCATGTAGTCTTTGTTTGTGCCACAGACTGAGACAATGGGGTCGCCACCATCGGAGCTGCCACGGACATGCTTCCAATCGGAGCTGCAGCAGCTACGCTGGCTACCTGTAGGCCACATCGAGGAGGGCAATAAATCTTCTATCCAATTCAAAACGAATACAAAGACGGCAATCCTGTGGCATACTGGTGTATGTCACGTTCGGCACGCTTGCATACCTGCGGATTTGTCCAGGAGAGTTCACCACAACTTCTGACCAGTCCCTACTGCCGGGGGCACTGAACCGCGGTGGCGCTCTGGATTGGAGCTGCCTGGCACTCCGCCACTCCGCCACTCCACGCCACTCCGCTCTGAATTGGACATTTCTGAGCTGAGCTTTCGACCAGGCGCATGGATGCTGCTGGAGCAGCAGCCATTGGGGCCATTGCCATTGGGGCCATTGCCATGGCACCACTTGCAGCAAGGGGTGCCTTCAGGACCATGTCACAGTTCGCTGCATGCTACATGTGGCTACAGTATGCTGCAATGCCAGAATGGTACAACTAACTCTATATATATATATATAGTTGAATTCAATGTGTCCATGTCGTCACAACTGTGCCTCTTTAGGAAACTTGTCTTTGATTTCTGCACGACGATTCCCAAAAACAACCATGCATACATCTTCATGCTGCCTGAAGCTCCAAGTCAGTTGGACCTTGTGGGGAGGCGGAGGCCACCTGGCGCATTCAGAAATCGACTCGCACCTTGGTGGACCTGCCCAGCTTCGATCCACCCCGGCCTCCGTGTATCGCATGGCCTTGTTCGCAAAGGTCCTCTTGCTCTCGGAGTCCGACAAGTGCCAGGCTGCGCGAGGGCGAAGTGCAGAGCGCACAACGAGAATCGAGCTGAGAGTAGGCTGAGAATTAGGCTTTACACAAGGAGCTATTTAGGGTATTTAGGGGAAGGACCAAAGGCAAGAAGGTTGATGGCAAGTTGAAACAATCATCTGTCCCCGGCACGGCACTAGATTATAGATAGATCATTACGGTTCTTGGGAGCAATCACAAAACTCTCAAGCAAGTGTTCACTGCTTTCTGAAGGCAACAACCTTCCAGTTGGGCTCTGCTCTCTGCTTTCTCAGAGAAGCCTGTGAGCCTGCCTGTCTACTTGCCTAGGTGCTCTTTCTGTTTTGCATGCTTTCATCCTTTCTGAACCGAAAGTAGCATCACCGGCAATTCCACCTGGCCTGCAACTCCAGCACAGCAGCAGGCTGCAATACAGGCAGCAACCTCAGCATTTGTCAGCCAAAGTCTGGTGCATCAACCAGCACCTGTTACAGAAAATACCAAAAATCTCAGAGATCCAAGATAGTGGACTGCAATGTAGGCGCCAGTGCCGAAGCCAGTGTCCTCCGCCTAGCCCCGGTCGCCCAGCTTTTGTTTGGTTCAAAGTGGCCGTCATCCATCGACTGAGTGAGTTTCAACAAAGGAAACTGGAAAGCACTGCGCAACATCCCGCGGGAGCTATCCTAGCAGCGATGCACTTGTGACGTTCGTAGCGTCCTCTTGTTAAAAAGTAGTAATGCCCTTGTTACTAGTAGCGATGAACTTGTCTATCATTCTATCCAAAAGTTTCTCACGTAAACCCACAAGCTTTACATAAAAACACAATTCAATTTGACACCCACGTGTGAGAAGGTCACAGAACTCAAAGTCCCAAGTCCCAAGGCCTCTGGCGTCGTCTCCGTCTCCTCTGTGCCGCTCACCACTGCGCCAGTGCTATCGGCCTGGAGCAAAAACGCTACAGAAGACACGAGACCGTCACGAGACCTGTTTGTCTGGAACGCAGTCTTAGGTGAATGGCATCAGTTCTTTACTTCAAACGTCACAATCAGACCGCCTGACCGCGTGCCTTTTCATCTCCAGGGACATAAATTGCCTCCATAACGCTGGAAAGCAATGTCTACTCTATGTATTGCACACAAAAAAGTTGTCCGAACCCCAAACTCAAGGCAGCTAAACTTGGCGGCAAAACGGTGGGCTTGACACACTCATAGTGCGGCGTGTAGAAGCTGTAGACCTAAAGGCTGGCCACATCCAGTCTGTCTATGTTGGCGCACCTCCCGAGGCGTCCACGCCCTGGCACTCGCGTGGCACAACGATGTCACCGGTTTTCCGGCAGCCTCATGAGGCGGAAGACGGGGTGGGATGGACACGATGGGTGTTCAATTCTCTAGAAGTAAGAAGAGACATACCGTAGGTACCTGCATTTCATTGGTCTTGCTCACCCCCTCCCCTACAAACTCTGAGCCATTGACAGGCATTTCCCAATCCACAGTAGTCTGAGCAGTAGCCGGGTTTCTTTCCACAAGGCTCCCAACAATCCTAAGGGGCAATGGCCGATAATCTGTCTGTGCGTGTCATTCTGAAGAATGAGAGGCCAAGATCCTTGCACTAAATCCATGCCTTTCCAGCATTCCAGATTGGACCTCGTGTCAGGTTGGTCGTTCGCTGAACACCAATGCAACGTATTTGCAACGCATTCCATGCATGATGCATTTCACAATGCCCCCAAGCCCCACCACAGCAGAATTCCAGCACTACAAATACAAATACACAAGCGAACACAAAAGTTTCCCTCACCAGCCATGTTCCTCTTTCTTATGAGTTCGAGACAAACGTGCCACCTTGCTCTTCTTTCGCTTTCCTCAGTAGCCCCTCACTCAGGATCTGAAAGTCACTTGCTTGAATCAAGAGTGCATTGACTAAGACTTCATCTGCAAGTCAGAAAACATGTTAAGTCTAACGCATCGTTTCCCCTTATGCAAGTCCCTTGAGAATGGTCCGTTTGCAACTTAGGAGAGCCTGGACTTTTGAATTTGATGGATCTGTGGCGCTGGCGAAGCGGCTTCTTCAGCCATTGCAATAGCCTCCAGTCCGGTCAGTCATTGAGACTGCGAACTGGGCAAGTCAGTGATGTTGAAAGCAAAGCTGGGACAAATTATGAGATAAAAAAGAAAGAAAGAAAAAAGGATGAACGGTGTTCTACCAAATATATGTATAGATCCATATATAATACTTATATACATATTGTTTAATAAAAGGCTGACAGCATCCTTGCTTCGGTGTAGTGCCTTTTGGAGGTGTTGGATGGCGCTGTGCCATTGGGACCCATTGCACTTTGCTTTTCAGGCTCTTGCCTCCAAACTATGTTTGTTGTGACAAGCCTCAGCTAAGAATGTGCTCAGAAAGCGCCGATATCATTTCAAACGTGTGATGTGGAGCAAGTTTTGCTGAAGCGAAGATGTGATGTAGCGTCCGTGGGATTTGGGTGTCCGAAGATTTTCACAAGAATGTCCCGCAAGAGTGCCTTACAAGAGTGCACCATAAACATGACCCGCAACAGCCGCCTACAAGAATGTCCCACAAGAATGTCCGACAGTGGCCCACAAGAGTGTCAAGAGTGTCTCACAAGGGTGTCCCATAACACGGTCCTACAAGAGCGCCCCTGCAGGAGTGCGGCAAAAGAGCCCTACACATGAGCGCCCTAAAAAATGGCCCCCGCAACAGTGTCCACAATATTACCTTGCAGGAGTGCCCCACAACCCTACCCCACAAGAGTGCCCCACAGCATCTTACAAAAGTGTTCCACAAGGGTGTCCCACAAGAGTGTCCCAGAACACTGTCCTACAAGAGTGTCCCTTGAAGAGTGTTGCACAAGAGTGCCCCAAGACTGTCTCTGCGAGAGGGTGCCAGAAGAGTGTCCCACAAGAATGCCACAAGAGTGTCCCACAGGAGTGCCCGACAAAAGTACCCTTCAAGGGGGTTCCCCACAGGTGTGCTCCACAAGAGATTTCCAGAAGTGTCCTAGAAGAGCATTGCACGATAATGTCAAGCAAAACTGTCGCACAAGCTTGTTACAGGAGTACTGTAGAAGAGTATCGCCCAAGAATGTCTGTCTTTGGAGAGTGCCACGCAAGAGCGCCAAACGTTGTTTGGCATTTGTTTGTGTTGAGGTATGTGTGTCCATTCGGGTCCGTGGGTTCTACCGGGTGGTCTTTTAAGAAGATTTGTTTGAGACTAGTATATTATAGGCAGTGCCAACATGTCGAGCCTCTTCCTCAGGTTGGCCAGATCTCAAGTACAAAATCTTGGCGACCTGAATCAGCCAGTCAGTTCGCCAAAGAAGTCTGCCAACAAGCTACTAGGAGCAAAGGGCATCGCTACTAATAGCAAGAAGCTACTAGTAGCTCCTGGCATTACTACTAGGAGCAAAAAGCTACTAGGAGCAAAGGAGTCTGCCAACAAGCAAGAAATGCGTGGCCTCCTGGGCAGATTGTTCTGCCACATCTTGCGAGGAGCCCTGCCCGATCTCCTGAGATTGGAAAAGCAAATGTCTGCAAATCCCAGCAACAACAGCGAGGACCGAACGTATGCTCCGGCTGTACCAGCAGCAACTTCCGCCTTCCAATACAGTCAAGTCAATCCAAAGAAGTGGTGGATCACCATTCAAGCTCGACTTTCTTGCAAATGTCGACAACGACGCTCACGCACCGGCCCACCGACGCACCGATGTTCATGCCTGCACGTTAATGTCGCTTCCAGCATCTTCTTTGAGCTCGGCTGCTTGGAGTCCCGCCTCAGCTTGGAAGCAAACTTAATGGTAATTAAGAATATTCAGCAGCACAAGAGTGGCACAACAGCGTGCCAACGCATGACATAAGCTCTCTGCTGTGATGGCGTGCTTTTGCTTCGGTGCAACAGCTGCGACTGCAGCTGCCTCAGTCATGCTTGCTTGGTCCGTTGGCAAATCAAGCTCTACTTATTCAACCAGGAAACCCAACTTGCTCAGAATTGTTTTCGTTTGCAAATCCTGGGCTTTACACAGCCGCGCCAGTTGCTGCAACAACAGCGCCGGTCTCCTCTGACCCTACAACCTCCCAACAGCTGCGACAGGACACGACAGCTTCGGAAAGCAACCAGACCCAACCGATCCAATGCTAGCTGGCCTTGTTGTTGGTTATGACAGGAGGCAGCGTGACCTCGACGTGGCGCCCCATCGCATCGCATGACAAGGTCCCCCCTTCAAAGCTACTTTATGCTACTATGTACAAAGGAGCGATGCCAGGAGCCCCTAATAGCTTCTTGTTACTAGTAGTAAGGCCAGGAGCCCCTAGTAGCGTCCTTGCTCCTAGTAGCGATACCAGGAGCCCCTAGTAGCTTCTTGTTACTATATGCTACTTACGTATGTTCTTGCACTTCTTACAGCTTATCTAGATTCATCCGATACAACTAGGGCTAGGGCGATTGCAGCGGGAGCCACCGTGGACAAGTCCACATGGGCAGCAGGTGCCACAGTTACTACTGGTGGAATCGTGGCTTCAGGTGCTGCGGTGGCGATTGTGAGTGCCTCTGGTGCTACAGTGCTGACAGGTGCCACTGTTGCAACTGGTGGCAGGGTAACATCCACCTTCACTGTAGTCAGGGGTGCAAGTGTGGCACCTGCAACGGGTGCAAGTGTGGCACCTGCAACGGGTGCAACTGTGGCAGCTGGTTCCAAGGTTGCGGCAGGTGCGAGTGTGGCAACAGGGGCGAGTGTGGCAGTCTCGGCAGGTGCAAGTGTGGCAACTGGTGCAACTGTGGCAGTCTCGGCAGGTGCAAGTGTGGCAACTGGTGCAACTGTGGCAGTTGGTTCTACAGTGGCGACCGGCGCTAAAGTGACGTCGGTTGGGGCAGCCGTTGCCACAGGTGCCAAGGTCACTGCATCTGTGGGTGCGGCTGTTACTGGTGCGGCTGTTACTGGTGCCGCTGTTGGTGCCACGGTAGGAACTGCTGGAGCTGGAACAGCAGCAGTGGATGCTTTTGCAGTTGCAGAGGCAGTTGCAGAGCTTCCTCCATTCACATTCACGACCTGGGTACAGGCTCCATGTGCCACTTGTGCACAATCAGCCAGCCAGTATCAGAACAGGCACGTCTGAGCTGCCTGCCGTTACACCTCCCACGGCTACGCTGGTTGCGGCTGTGATTGCTGCAGCCTGCGACAACAAGTGGCCCAACTGGTTTGTTTATCAGTAACTGCTGAAACCACTTGTCTGTCGTCGAAGCACCCACACACCCTAATGGGATTTTCACTTTCGGTCCATCCCCACTATCCATACACAAACACGGGTCTCAGTGTAACTCTACCCCCTACTAAACCAGTTTGGGAGGAGTCACAAACCTTGCTTTTTTCAACGAATCTGCGGGTATCAGGCAAATACCAAAGGTTGATGACACGTGCCCACACATCTTTGGCCCCCCCTTGCCCTGTCCTCCTGGTTTGACATTCCGTTCTTCTGCAGCTGATTGACCACAGCGTTCTTGGCCGCAATTTCCGCAGCAGGCTGCGTCATGCCACCTGAGATGCCAGTTTCCTGCGCCGCTTTGTAGGCCGCGTTCACCTCATCAACCACCTTTGCGTTGGCACCCTTCATGCTATCGATAGCTCCTTCTGAAGCCGCTGTCACCTGTTCCTCAACAGACTTACCCTCTGCTTTGGCAGCTTGAGCCATCTCTTCTGCTTTGGCTCTCGCATCTGTGTACAAGACTGCACTCTCCATGCCCTTGGTCAAGTCATCCACATCCTCAGCAGGGTTGTGGAGTGCATCGAGACTTACAATGAGGAAATCGAGGCTTTGACAGAAGGCTGATGGACTGGCTTGACACAAACATGGTGCCAAGTGGTGATCGCCACCTCGAGAGCAAGTTTTGTTCGATAGCTAAGCCATTGAAGCATGTGAGGCAAAAAGTATCTCAGGCATGGTCGTCTTGGCAGACCTTTGGCTTATTCAGCTCGTCCCTCACAGCGCGGGGCTGAAAACACGGAGAACTTCCGAACTCCTTCGGAGAAGGGCCGTGTCGGGTGCACTGGGGGATCGACGTTCGGCAGCAAGCATTGCCCAGGCCACAGTATGCACAAAGGCCGGACCTGAAATCCATAACATCGAACAGGCTCCGGGGCGACGGAATGACAGGCGCATTCTAGGCTCGGGCGACTTGCCACATGGAACCCAGCAGTCCTCACCTTGGGCAAGCAACAAAGCAAAGGTTGTGCTAAAACCTTAAAAGCGTTGAGACTCTTCTTATATAATACATCATGTATATTGAAAAGTGATGCCAAACTTGAAGCTTTGAGGCTTCCACCGCCATGCAGCAATTCCCCGGCTTTGATGTCGGAGCCATCTGAAGGGGCCGTCACGATGGCAGGAACCTCAGCCAGAGCGGCCCAAATGGGCACCATAGAGGGCTGACAGTGGCTGACAGTCTGCCGTGAACTCTGAGACGAATGCTTAGTTTGGGTGTGCCTATTGTATCAAAGCATGTCGAAAACACTCCTACATGCGAATCTTGGCTGGGAAATCAGGTCTGTTCAGATCATTCCGTTTAAGAGAATGTCGAAACGAATCTGCCAGGTTCCTGGCCATGGATCGTGCAGCTTCTGCTGCGGCGGTGGCCTCGATTCATCATGGGGCGTTTGAATTCGCAGCAGCACCGAGCGGGAGAAACCATGTTGAGGGTGAAAGTTGGCTTCAAACGAAAGTTGGCTGAAGAATTCCATACAAATGTGTTCGGATCCTTGATTTCATATGAGTTCATCATATTTCATCCCCGACCTCTCCAAAACGGATCGGATCACCCTCTTTCGGTCCAAAAACAGCAGAGAGTTGCGGATCCGCCTCCACAGGGCTCATGCCAGCATTAATGGCCGCTTCGTATGCGCACTTCCTGCGGAAGGACAACCCGGCTTGGGCTGCTTGGATCGGTCCAGACCGATGCAGGCAAATAGAGCATGCATACAGTACTGAGTGGTTTTGTCATTTCAATCACAATCCATTTCCTGACTGGTGCCTAGTAGGGAATGAGGGATGAGACCCCAATAGAGACTCCTTCTCATTCCCTACGAGTCTTACAAGTCAGATTCATTCGAGTCATTCTGACCGTCCTGGCCACCTGGGCAGTGTCAATGGCAGACAGGCCCAAGGATTTGCCAACTGCTGCAGCCTCTGCTGCTGCGGCCTCCGGAGCCTTTGCACCGGCTGCCTGCGGAGCTCTGCGTGGTTCGAAAGGTCGACTCTGAGAGAACGAAGTTGAAGGTGCCTGGCCCGCTGCCAAGCACTTCGTCATGATCTCCGAGGTCTGGGGCGTCTGCAAGGCATCCGCTTTCTCGGTCTCAATGTCCTTCGCATCTTAGACACCAAAGACCGAATCTGTTCACAGTTTGTCCATTCAATCATGGATTTCTTGGCAAGATGTGAAGCTTGATACTTGAACCAGAAACTAAATGTTCAAGAACTAAACTCCGTCCTTCATCACTGCTGCCACTGTTGGGTCAACCTGTGATGCAACAGGGAGTTGAGAATATGCATATAATACAGGGAGTGTGAGAATGTATGAGAATATGCATACCATGCTAGATATTCATAGGGTCATAGTGATACTGCATCATACTGTCATACCATGCCCAGTTTCATTCAGACGTACTGACCGTACGTCTAAGCCTTTTTGGGGGAGACTGCCATAGCCAGAAGAACGAGTCGGAAGGAGCCTCTTTCAGAGGGCCTAAGGGTGAGAGACTAAAGTGACTAAAGCTAAACCTGGGCAGGTGGGACACAGGGGACACAGGTACAGGATTCTATCCGATCCCAAAAACAGTTCAGCAAACTCTTCAAGAACTTCGGCCAATTGAACCATATTGAACCCCTTGCAGGCGGTTCCAAGCTTAATCTTTGCATTCTAGGTGATCACCCAGCTATTCCTGCACGTGCTACGGCCTTTGAAGTGATTGTTGGGTGTGTCATCTCTTGGTCAAAAGCGTGAAAGGTGCGACTCCGGCAGTGGCTGCCGCAGTCGTTGGCCCACCTGAGTACTGGCAATGCCAATGTCCACTGCCGCAGCAGTTCCAGCGATCTTCATTGAATCGGCCACTTCATCTGAGAAGCCGCCGCTGGTCTTGGTGATTTCCTCCACATTGTTGGATTGATTCACAGTTGGATGCGACAATCTCATGTGGAGCAGTCATTTCAGAAGGCATGTTGTATCGAAAAAAGCTCACAAGCTAAAACTGACAAACCCTCAATTTGTTTTGACAATCTGTAACATGCCCTTTCCAACAATGAATGCATGGGATGTTTGGTCATTACACAGAGGCCTGTGGACCACGACCAGAGCGATTCCTACTCAGTACCATTCGGACTGAAATCCCATTCCACATGCGCCGCTGCACGGCTCTTTGTCGCCTTGGCGGCCATCTCCGAGCAGTAGATCTTCTCCTCGTTGGTCAAGCCGATCTTCGCTGCAACCTGCCCGGCCACGTCCACAGCCACCTCGGTCGCCTGCTGCCCAAGCTTTCCGTTGCCCTTGGCAGTCTTGTAGGCGGCAATGTAAGCCTTCTGGCACTGCTCCTGCCAAGGTTAAGCAAGTCATCAAACAGAAAGTACCGCATCAAGTCGAGGCTCTCGGTTCTACCTTCTTGGATCAATGATATCCCAAAAGAGCTTGGCAAGCTATCACAGACTGACCGATTCATGCCCATCCACAACAATGACACTAAACTTGCCAAGCTGCGGAAACAAAGGTTCTCCATACATGTAAACAATCCAATTGGCTTGAGACTCACCATTTCAAACGAAGCAGCAGAAGGTAGACCCCAAGAACTTCAAGAAACGAAAGTGCGAACCCTTGGTCCATCCCACAAACCAGCATCTGCATGGGTAAGGAGCATCTCACTAGACAGCGGCTGCCACTCTGCAATATCTGATCTTATGAATCTCGTGTATATAATTAGAGGTGCATCAAAATACTCTGCTCGACGGACTTCCAGCCAACCTGCTTGCTTTTGCCGAAATCCTTTGCTCCGTTGAAAGCCGCCATGGCAGCAATGTAGGGGCCAGATGATGGGTTCTGCCTCAGTCGACAAAGGTGAGGAAACACAACTAGACGCTGTGGCCGCTGTGGCTTGAGAATAAGAGTTAGGAAGGATCAATCGCCAGGGTCCCGACTCCTCTCCGAACACAATGACCTCGCGCCGCGCTCTCTCTCTCTCTCTCTCCAGCTCCCAGTCCTTTCACAAGTGGCTGCAATCAATGAAAGGACAGAAATGCTTTGAAGCCTGTGAACATCTATGATATATGCCTACGGGCCTGGTTCCCCAGGGGTCTACTATTTATTGCCTTGCTAATGTTCAGCCAAACCAGAATCTGCAATTGCGCCTTCCCTTCCTTCACTGCCTGCAACAGACTGAAGCATACGCAAACTCTCTTAGAAACATAGAATCTTTTGACCGGCCTGCTCCTCCATGTGACTGATCTGAGCAGGTCAGCAAGCAACAGGCAGAAGTTTTGCAGTAAGCTCCGTAAACTGTTGCAAACTAACCCAAAATAATCGAAAATACAGGAATTGGAGTAAAAGCTTGGTGACGTGCCACCAGTGACTAAGCATCCAGCGTCATCAGCGGACACTCCTGCATCAGCCAGGGCATCTTTGACAGCCTGCACCCCTGCAGCGTTCGCCTGAACCAGCCGTTCAATTAAGTAAAACGATATTGATAAGTACAGTATACAGAGTTCGAAGTTCAAGACAGGAGAGTCTATCCAACCTCTTCCTTCGTGATCCCCTTCTCATCCGCAGTTCCTGCCGCTCCCACATAGGCACGGGTGGCCTTGCCGCACTCTGGGACCTCACGAAACCTCTAGGACCTGCCCATCCTAACTGCCACAAGGAAGGGCAGGACTGTTGGGCCAGGCGTCGTCAGTGTTTCACCTTTGTCTACTAAAGATGTATAATTATATATATATATGTTGTTCTTTTGGCCTGGGGGCCGTAGAGGCGAGGTAGTAGCTTAAGTAGCTACTTACCTAGGAAGCTACTACCTTGGACGCAGGATAGCACACGCCCGCTAGCACTAATGATTGGTTTCTAGATTTTGGGGGAAATTTAACTTATGTTACAACAAAGCATCCACAGAAACAACACAGACGTCACGAGCCATGTCAGCTATGTGCGACCAAGTTCAAATGGTGTCAGAGCGCATTAAAGTATGAGCAGCAAGAGCTACTAGTAACTAGAAGCTTCCTTGGGAATCGTTTCACCAGCAACAAGAAGTTACTAGTAGGTCTTTGAAGCTACTAGTAACAAGTGCCACGCTAGTAGTAACAAGTGCCTTACTAGTAGTAACAAGAAGCTACTAGTAACAAGAAGCATGGCTAAATCCAACACGGATCCCACAAATATGCCTGCGTCGCTGCGGGCATGCCAGCCACCTTTGCAGCTTCTGAGGCCGCTTGTCCTGCATATGCAGCCTGCCAAGATTGCACTCAAATGTGCATGAACAATCTTGTCGCCTTGTCTTGTCTTTGTCTATGACCGGCTGTTCAAGAATTGAAAACACTTGCCTGCGTGGTCACATCCTTGCCAGCCGCCTCAAGTCTGGACCAAGGTCTCAGTATCGTGATGTCTAGTGTCAACCCTATGTATTTTTGGCATGCCGCATGAAGTGTCTGCCCAAGATCAGCAACTTTAAAGAAAGTGCTACCAGCACATCTTTCATATTCTACATTCATATACAACAATGAATTGATGTCTCATTCAAACTCACCTTGAAAACAACGGACTGAAAAACTTGACAGTCTCGAGTTGTTCCAATTCATGCCTCATGAAATCTGCCCGCCTGGGCCACTGCGCTTGCTGCCTCAGCAGCCTGGTCGGGGTTCGACAATGCCTGGCATGGACCAAGTGGATGACAGCTTCGAAGTGTTCCCCCTGGCTGGACCTCGCATGTCTTCAGCACCAGGTGTAGCAGGTGTCTTAAGAGCTCGTGGGCTCGTCGTGTTTGACCCCAAGGTCTCCAAGAACCCCCTGTGGGTCCAAGGTCTTACAACGTTCTTGGTCAAAGTTGGTTTCTTCTGCCTCGTGCCAACTGTGCTAGAACTCGAGCCGACGTCGCTTGGTTAGGATGGTTGCTTCGCTGGTCTTCTGGACTCATCAGCGTGAAATTGGGCTGAAACACGGCAAGACATGCCGGCTGGAACTCCAGGCAAGCACTGGCTGTACCACTCGCTCACGACCTAGGGTTCTTAGCAATTCACGGGACCTAAGGTGATATTATTAGTATATTTTGCTACATCCGAAATCATCCCAAACACCAACTCAAATGAAGTCACCAAATATCAAGGTGCTTTGGAAGGCGGAAGGTGCTAACGCAATGTAAAGCATCTTAGGAGGGATTGCCGTTGGGCCTCTCTCGCTGTCTGGCCAAGAAACTGCGCAGTTGCTTCCAACCTGCACCCGTTCTATTTTCGTCGGATTGTTCTGGGATCTAGCTGTGATTTCACCAACGAAGAACTCAGAGTCTGTGACTAACTGCCTGGCACTTGGTCTGGCCGGTCCATCCTTTTCCACCACACTGTGCGTACCTGGGTAAGGCCATGCAGAGCTTCTTAGAGCTGAGCCAAAAGCTCTCGATTTCTGCAACTGGCCAGCTTAGTTTGTGGCGGGATTTGTGGCAAACTTGTCATGGTCTTCGCCACCTCCTCCTTGGGAACCTGCATGCACGACGAAAGACTTTGGACGGAGCTGCAAAACAGCCAACGGTTTGGAAAAGAAATGGCAAACACAAACATTCCAACCAGCAGAATACCAAACTACACTCAACAAAAGTGCGCTTTGAAGCCCTCCTACAGTTCCTTCCAGGATAGGATCAGAGTCTATTGCTGACGAGCAGCAATTTGAGGCGCTGATCTGTCATGTTTGTTCATTCTATGATGTTCTATGTACAAATAAGAAAAAGTATATATGTATATATTAGGTTATTGTGTCGACTTTTCATGACCTATCTCTCTTCTACTCAGATTCTGTCAAGGATGTTTATGGTCGAGGAATTTCCGGGCTCCGCCTCACCACCTTGGCATCGGCACCGGGCAGCTTCGCCTTCCTCGAAGGGCATGTTGCAGGTCAGGAGGTAACTGGCAGCATACGGTGACATCAGGGACTTTGACACAATGAAATGTCATGTATACACAACAAACGGCACATACCTTGCACCTGGTCGCCCCTTCCAAACATGCCCAACGAACTCAACGCCCTGCACTGCGCAGCTGTGAGTGTAGGCCAAGCCCGCTGAGGCACATTGCCTGCCACCTCAAAACACAAAGGCCAGACAACTGTTGATGACTGCATGACTGCTGACATGACATGTCAAAACCACGTCTTGGCATTGCCTTGTGCCAGACAGTACTTTTCGCACGTCCCATAACTGGCCTGCCAATGGAGTGCAAGACAGCTGGGCCAAGGATGCTGCACATGTTGAATTGGCATCATCCTAGTAACTCCTCTTGTTCCTAGTAGCGATGCCAGGAGCCCCTAGCAGCGTCCTTGCTCCTAGTAGCGATGCCCTTTGTATCCAGTAGCTTCTTGTTACTAGTATTTAACTGGTAGTAATCCGGAACATCAAATTGAATATATATATATATATATATCATCGGTTTTCTCGTCTATCCAGAACATCGTTCTCAATGACAAATGAATCTTGGTCAATTGACATAGGTCATGAGTCCCCGACGTTGATGTTTGGGATGGTGACATCACAGGCACCGCAGACTTTGCCTCTGAAAGAGCAAAACCGCCCGATGAAGACGTAATCTTCAAATAAACAGAGACAACATGCCCAAGACGATTGCTTCTACAAAAAACACGTATTGCATCTACAATTCGTGCGGTTCACACGGATAGCCGCTTCTATTTGAGCAGGTCATAGCATCCTTCTTCCACTCCCCTGCTCCATCTCGGTGTGGGACTTACACCATTCCAGGTAGTGGTGGTGTCGCCACAGGAGACCTGACATCAACAGTGTCGCAACCACACGACCAGTGGAAAGCAACCAAAGGGGCTGTTTTTCCCCCTCGACTCAACTCCTTGGAAGTCGGACTTCCTTGGGAAGGCCCCGGTCATACTTCGCGCTGCCATAGTGCTTCGTGATGAGCTTGCCATACTGGCGCAGCGGCTTCAAGTTGCCCCACATGTCACATCAACCCTCTCTAATTCTCCAACCTGGCATTCAGGCACCAAGTACGTGTTCAGGGCGTTCGTGTTGACACCGAAGGCATGTCCTGGTGCTCCGAAACTACTCAGAGAGACAAACAGCGTGCGAAAGACAGAAACAATTTTGTAGAACCGGCTACAAAACATGAAATTAAGGTACAGTAGGAGAACGTGGTGCATCCTGCTCCATTCATCACAAAGTCGAAAGGCTCACACATGTTGTCGTTGTTGGAGTGGCAAGTCCTTTGGTGAAGGGCTTTCCGGCCACTGACAAACACGAGCAAGTGCCAATGCTGAGGGTGCCACACGCCACCACACCAAACACAGGGCTGGTTGTTGGTCTGCAGTCGTAGAACATGTATCAATCGTTTCAGGTGTGGGACCCAAACAAAGGAAAGCTCATCAAATCGTTTCGCTATGCTGCAATGCGACTCTTTAGAATGTGTTCACTTGCGCTGCCTTCAAGCCGGCCACTTGCTGGAAGGGTCGTGCATCTCTGCTGCTCAAGCATTCCTGTTTGTCCTGTCTAGACCAGCTGCTCAGTTGCTGGAGATCAGCTATGCCATCGATGCACTAGAGATGAAAAAGGCGAGCCTCGATGTTGTTGCAGCCACTCTCCGCTTTCTTCAGGCAGCTCATATCTTCCTCCTTGAAGACTGAGTTCTTGTTCGCCTCAGCTCAGAGCTTCGACTGAGAGAAAGAAGCTGCGTGGCACATACAAGGCAGCTACTTCGCAGCTTCACTGAGACACATGCATGGCACCTGGCCGCGGTCAGGCTATGGCGGGCCTTGGATGACCAAGCTCAAATCACCTGTCAAAGCCTTCATTGCCTTCTTTGGTGACAAATCTTGGCACCCCACATGCACGGAGCCAAAGGCCTGAAGTACACCAAAAAAGAAAGCGGCAGCCCTCAGAGGCCGATGGCCTCCAACCTAATAGCGATGGCCTCCAACCTGCTGGTGATG